AGTGGAGTGTTGGTGTCATTAGATTAAAAACAAATGGCACAAGTAATTTAAAGGAAGGAATGGCTAAAATTTTATGCAAATATAAACTGGTAGATGCTAATATCTATATGACTTTACTTAGTCTTGAATGTATCCACACACTAAAGTATTTTGGAATGACAAATCAGCAACATTCTCAATCCGAATTAAAATCATATCTTCCTTACCAAGTCTAATTTAATATTTTTCTAGAAATTCACGTCATCAGTTTCAGTTCAAAAGTAGCAAAATTTATAATTTTAAAGAAACATTAAAATCCCAATTGAGATCAATAAAAAATTACTTATATTCGGATATTTTAAGTAACCCGGTGATTTTGACCACTAAACTTATTTTACATGCTTGTCAATTTTNTGGAGGTAAGTCTATCGCACACCCCTCACCAAATGGATATCTCAAAGTGCATTTATTGAATAGAAACGGTTTGAGACTTGTATCTTTGCACCAAAACATATTAGCCTTATATTAATATTTCAACACACAAATATGTTTATAAAAATTTCAAGCAATAAAATATTTCATTTTTATTAGTAGATTAAATTGAATGGTCTAAGTGGAGTGTTGGTGTCATTAGATTAAAAACAAATGGCACAAGTAATTTAAAGGAAGGAATGGCTAAAATTTTATGCAAATATAAACTGGTAGATGCTAATATCTATATGACTTTACTTAGTCTTGAATGTATCCACACACTAAAGTATTTTGGAATGACAAATCAGCAACATTCTCAATCCGAATTAAAATCATATCTTCCTTACCAAGTCTAATTTAATATTTTTCTAGAAATTCACGTCATCAGTTTCAGTTCAAAAGTAGCAAAATTTATAATTTTAAAGAAACATTAAAATCCCAATTGAGATCAATAAAAAATTACTTATATTCGGATATTTTAAGTAACCCGGTGATTTTGACCACTAAACTTATTTTACATGCTTGTCAATTTTAATGGGCTTTGTTAATATGACCTAAAATTCACCCATTCATTAGGCTAATATTTGCATTTTAGATTAATTTCCGCAGATAAATTAGCAAAGAGGTGATGTTTAGATGGTTATGAGTGTCTGCTTATTTATTTATCTGTTTGCATTTATTACCGCACTAATTTATTCTTAAAAAAGTAATATTTAGTTACTAGGGTTGACAAAATATTTCAAAGGTTTAGTTTAAAGGAAAACCGCATTCTTGATGTGTTGGAAAATCGCACGTAATTAAAATTAAGAAAGTGTCGTTTTAACAAGATCAATTTAAATAATATGTAGTGCGCGATAGACTTACCTCCACGTGGTGCACCTTGGACAACGTATCTTCGTACGGCAAAAGAGTCTATCACTCGGCATTCGATTTGACTTAGATTTATTATGATTAGCTTGAAAAAAGGCTATAAAAATCGCCCTCGTCAGGGTGAATCACAACGCCTTCAGATCCTCCAGTGGAGTGCTGGAGGGATGTCACAGGACCCAAAGATCCAAGTCCAGAAACTCCTACAAACCCATGATGTAGACATTTTCACAATTATGGAATCAGGAATGTCGCCGGACAAAAAGATCCAAGTACAGAAAATCCCTAAAGTGATGTAGACATTTTCACAATTATGGAAGCAAACATTTCGGATGCCGAACTGAAATACACCAATTCCCAGGTTACACCCTGTACCTTCTACCTAAATAAATTCTCAGGTTACACCCTGTACCTTCTACCTAAATACCGGGGCAAACATTTCGGATGACAAACTGAAGTACTACCAATTCATATCATTTCGGATGCCGAACTGAAATACTACCGATTCCCAGGTTACACCCTGTACAATCTACCTAAATACCGGCAAGTTGCAAGTGGACTTCTAAATGGAGTTGAAAAATGCCTCACTTCACACTACGATCTAATCAAGAGTATGGACTCGACACATGAAAAATGTGAAATAATAACATTAAATGTTTGGAAATGTCAAAACCACTTCAAGGTATATGCATTCTATAAACACCCCAGAATAGTCCCAACTCTGACTTT